CATGGAAGTCCTTTCCAGAATAGTGTGGATTATGGTTCCCTGTAGTATATGGAGGAATTCGTGATGAAGTCTGTTTCTAATCTGGGAGTGGAGAAGTCAGCGTCGTCAGGATCAAGCAAGAGAGGTTCAACCGGTACACAGGTAATCAAATAGAGAGCTCCCTCGGCAAACAGCAACAAAGTAACAAGGTATGCGAGAGGCACAAATTGATTGGGTCATTTGGATGCAGCCGCGGCTTCCTTTTGAAAGTGAAGAGCGTGACGTCAGACACATGGGCGGAGTCGGATCGGCGAACCCCGGAAGTCATACGGGTAATGCCGATCGAAAGGAAGATATGGGGGAATCCTGACATAATGTTATGGCTGGTCAGTGTATGGAACCATAGACTTAGAGCACCATAAACAGTACAATGCACTATAGTGGTTATGGTGCTTAAAGTGGCCTTTAACCCCTTAAGGACACATGACATGTGTGACATGTCATGATTCCATTTTATTCCAGAAGTTTGGTCCTTAAGGGGTTAAAGGCAATGAGACAAAATAGAAAGGTTTTGCACGTCAGCTAATGCATAAAAGTCATGAAAAAAAATAATAAAAAACAGGTGTATCAAAGGTGAACTTTCACTGATTCATAAGAATCAAATTCAAGCTCTTGGTGGTTTTACAAAAGTATTTAACAAACAATGTAGCTTAGTAAACCCCCCCTAGAGGCAGATGCAGTCACTACCTTATGTTATGTTAAAGGACCACTATAGTGCCAGGAAAACAAACTCATTTTCGTGGCACTCTAGTGCCCTGAGGGAGCCCCCACGCTCATGGCCCCCCTTCCACCGGGCTGAAGGGGAAGAAAGGGGTTAAACACTCACCTTTCTCCAGCGCTGGGCTCCCTCGGTGTTGGAGAATCTCCTCCCTCTTCTGACGTCATTGGCTGAATGCGCATGCGTGGCAAGAGCCACGCGCGCATTCAGCCAGTCCCTAGGAAAGCATTCTCAATGCTTTCCTATGGACGCTGGCGTCTTCTCACTGTGAAAATCAAAGTGAGAAGCGTGGAAGCGCCTCTAGCGGCTGTCAATGAGACAGCCACTAGAGGCTGGATTAACCCATTTGTAAACATAGCAGTTTCTCTGAAACTGCTATGTTTACAGCAGGCAGGGTTAATCCTAGATGGACCTGGCACCCAGACCACTTCATTGAGCTGAAGTGGTCTGGGTGCCTATAGTGGTCCTTTAACTCATGTTTGCATTGGAATTTTGTTGAAGTTCAAATACAGTCCAAATGGGTATTTCATAAACATTTTATCCTTGTGAAATATTTAGAAGTGGCAAAGCCACTTAAGGTTTCACCAAAAACATCTGCACCTCTATACTCACACACACATTAATTCTCAAAACTCTCACATTTACTCTCACAGACATGTTCATACATTCGTTCTCAAAAGTGCTCCCATTAACTATCACAGACATACTCGTACAATCTCTCTCTGTCAGACACTCTAATACAAACAAAATACTGTTCACATGGTCACACTTTAGGTAAAATACACAATAATTTTAGACATAGTCCTGCTTGCACACCTCCCAAGCAGTAGATAAGATGAGTTCTCTTTGTTACTAATACAATATAAAAGAAATGGATAATAAGTGGAGCGCTGATTAACTAGAAAATATATAGATAAGAGATAAGGTATATAAATAGGAAACCTAACGACCTATATAATATCAAACAAAATATAAAATCAATAGAAGCACCTTATCATCTAGTTATTCATAATAGTCTCACTTACGTACTCAATAATAATTGTAAAACACAATTTATTAATAAACAAATAAAAATACCATCTGTTAAAAATAGTTATTTTAAGAAAAAAAACCATGCACAAAAGGAAAGAAAGTCCAGACCTTATTTGATAATCTCGGCGTCCCGAGTCAACCAAAAAGCATGCTGAAAAATATCATTTTAAAAGTCCTCTTTGATGTATAAGTGCTGGCTTGTATCGATGGGAGTCAGACCCCTCCAAACGCGTTTCTCCGCTTCGGCGGCTTTCTCAATGGATGCGGTCTGCTTCGTTGTATCCGTTTATATAGCAGTAGCCGGCTTGCTGTTTCCCGGCAAAAAAATAGATGCTTACAGAAATGTGCTAACAATGTAAGCCTAATTAGCTACATAAGAGCACAAATGAAAAACATTACAACATAGTATATTGTAATTCTTGTTACTATAGTAACACCCGCCTAAGCAGGTTCAAATATAACTGCCGTTTTCATTTGGCACAACTAAGTACAAGAGAATAGTATATTATAATTCTTTTAATAGCAACCCTCGCCTAAGCAAGTTCAAATATAACTGCCGTTTGCATTTAGCACGACTAAGCACAAGAGGATAGTAAAATTAATTTAAAAAATTTAAAAAAAAAAAAAAAAAATGTAAAAAAAAATTTTAAAAATTTTTTACTTAAGCAAAATTTATTATATAAAATAGGATAAATTGTATCTATTAATTCTCATATAGATAATTACTATATTGAAACTAGGATCAATATTTTGACCTTGAAAATTTGTTCTTGAGGCAGTCTTGATGTTTTAAACCTTAATACTTGTACTGCCTCTATAGATTATATATCGTAAAAATTATATTTACTCTATAAAGAGCTAAGACTATTATTCTTAAAGGACCCCAAAAAAAAAAAAAGGGGGGGAGGAGTGAGAGAAGAGGCAATTTATCCCAAGAAATGACAGAGCTCAAACTCAGCATTTAATCCCTTAGGCTGCAACGTATCTAAATTGTAAATCCATTTCATCTCAGTAATGCCCAATTGTTTATTATGGTCTCCGCCTCTCCAATTTTTATTTACTTTGCATATCCCCTTAAAATTCAAAAGACTCATATCCGAATTGTGATACTGCTTAAAATGGGCTGAGACTGAGTGTTGCATATAACCCTTTTTTATATTCAACATGTGTTCTCTTATTCTCACATACAACTGCCTCTTTGTTCTTCCTACGTACTGGAGCCCACATGGGCACTCCAGTACATATATTACGTTACTACTGTGGCAGGTGATATTTTCCTTTATTTTAAAGGATTCTCTCCCTTTCTTGCAGTTGTTGTTAATAACTTCAAATACTCCTTTTGTTTGTTTGCATTTACTTTCTTTGCATGCAATACAGTCTAGGCAATAAAAGAAACCATTCTTCTTTGTTATAATTGGGACATTCCTTCCTTTTAGATGTTTATTTGTTATTTTTCTTCTTAGGTTCGGTGCGCCCCTAAAAATTATTCTGGGTCTTGCTGGTAAAATGTCGGCCAGTATTTTATCTTTTTTCAATAAATGCCAATGTTTAGTAAGTATTCTTTTTAGTTGTTTATTTTCTTTGTTGTAATTCAAGATAATTGCTGGAAAATCTTCTCCTATTCTTTTTATTTGTGATTTATCTCTATTTTTCATGAGATTGATACGATCTAGCTTCTCTACTCTACATAGTGCCTCCTCTATTTCTTTCTGTTGGTAATTTTTCGACAGGAATTTGTTTTTTACTGTTTCCGCTTGTTCCCTATAAACTTCAGAGTCTGTGCAATTGCGTTTCAGACGTCTAAATTCATTATAGGGTACGTTCTTTAACCACGTGGGTAAATGACAGCTCTCTTTAAGAATAAAACTGTTCACATCAACTTCTTTGAAGTGCGTTTTTGTTTTTACTTTCCCAGACTCTATATAGATGGTGAGGTCAAGAAATTCTACCTGTGTTTTACTACAAGTAGTATTCAATTGCACTCCCCAGGTGTTCTTATTTGCATATTCCAGAAACTTCTGTAAATCATTCATCTCACCTTCCCATATAAAGAAAACATCATCGATGTATCTTTTATATCTGTGGATGTTCTTATTCCAAGGATGTTCATTCCAAATGTGATTGTCCTCCCAATCCCCCATGAACAAGTTGGCAAAACTAGGGGCAAATTTCGTCCCCATGGCTGTTCCCTTCTTCTGGAGATAGAACTGATCTTCAAATAGAAAATAATTGTTCTTTAGAATAAAAGCAATTCCTTCTATTATAAATGCAGTTTGTATATCTTCCAGTTCCCCATATTTATTTAATGAGTTTCTCACGGAATCACAGCCTTGTTGGTGATCAATAATCGTATATAGGGAGGTCACATCTGTAGATACTAGAATATAATTGTCTTGCCAGGAAAGGGAGTCCAGTTCTTTAATCATCTGTGTCGTATCCTTAAGATGGGACTTAACCCTGGACACATATGGTTGTAAAAATGCATCGATATATTGTGACAAATTTGATGTGATGGAATTTATCCCCGATATTATTGGTCGACCGGGGGGTGCTGTCAAGTTCTTATGAATTTTCGGTAAGAAATAAAAGGTAGGGGTTCTTGGAAAGGGAATAGCAAGAAATCTATATTCGGACTCCTTTAGGATTCCTATGTCTTTAGCTTTACCCAGCATAGTTTCAAGTTCAATCTTTATTGTGTTCAATGGATCAATTGATAATTTCTTGTATGTTTCAGGTTCTCCCAGTAGTCTGGATGCTTCTTTTAAATAATATTCACTCGACATAATAACTATTCCTCCACCTTTATCCGCTGGTTTGATGCAAATCTTTTCATTATTACTTAGATCCTTAATTGCTTCTCTTTCTTTACTTGTTAAGTTATTCCTTGAATGATTGTTCTTTTTCATCTTCCTTATATCATCAGTTACTAATTCCTCATATATTTCCATCCCAGCAGATACTTGATTCAAAGGATAAAATTTAGAAGTTGGTCTCAATTGACTATGTTGGAACCTACTTAGAGGCTCTTCTTTTACTGGAAAATCTGGTATCTGATGAAAATGTTTTTTGATGCTTAATTTTCTTATAAACCTTTTAACATCGATGGTTGCTTCAAATTTATCCAAATGTGCTGTCGGTGCAAATTTTAATCCTTTATTGAGTGCTGTAATGTGGTGGGGTGATAGTTGTATGCCAGCAAGATTAAATATTCCTACTGGGTGCTCTTCTTGGTCTTTTTCTTGCTTATCCCTTGTTCTTCTTCCTCCTCTATTTCTTCTAGGTTTAACTCTTTTCTTTTGGACCTTCTTGGTGTCATCGGATGAAACCATGTGGTTATTTCTCTGGTGTTCCTTCCTAAAAAAACCGCCTCTCTTGTGGTATTATGTACCTCAGCTTGGACCGTTACTGTGTTACCTCCTGTAGGGGTCTCCACATATTCTTCCTCCGATCTTCTTTCAGATGTCTTGTCAATTTCCCTATCTTTATTTCTACTGTGCATTTCATTCCTCCTATTAAAGTTGGTATTGAGTGGCATTTTGTGTTTCCGCTCATCTTGACCTCTTGAAATTCTTAAACCTTCACGTTCTGTATTTTGCTTATGCTTTGTCTCTGCTCTTCTTTGGACTAATGGTATATCTTTCCTCCTCAGCAAATGATCACCTTCTATATTATTCACAGATCTTCTCCAGCTCTCCTTTGTTCTTCTTTTTTCGTTGACTGGTATCAAATTAGGATTCTCTCTAACATTAAGTCTTCTTGACTGTTGGTTGGAGCTTCCATTCCAATTGTTATTGTTTCTTCTCTCATATTGATTTCTATTCTGGTTTTCATATTCAGTTCTTTTAGATTGGTGATACATCTCGTTCTCCTGAAAGTTCTTCTTCTCATGATATGAGTCATATTTCTTCTGAAAATTTCTGACTCTATCATTTTTGTAGTCATCCATATCACGTAAAAACTTTTTCTTCTTAGTTTTTTTTATCTCCTCCTCCAGTCTGTCTACACTTTCGGCTATTTTAACAATCCTTTCCTTTGGGTTTTCACCTCCTTCCAGAGATTCTAGGATATTTTGTATTTCTTTAATTTCCTGATCTAATTCTACCAACTTCTTTTTTCTACATTCAATAATAATATCCATAAAAACAAATGAACAATCTTCCATTGTTTCATACCATCTTTCTTTGAGTTCAAGATACTCGATGGGAAACGCTGGATCTTTAAATAACCTTAATCGTCGGGGAGTTATGTTATCAATAATATATTGCTGCAATGTAGCGATTTCCCATTTTAATTTTAATTCTTGTTTTAATAGTCTTTCTAACTTTAAAAATAGGAAATTTCTATTGTGTTTAGTGGAATATTCCCTTAGAATATCTATTCCAAAGCACCTTGCATTGGTATCTACCTTCTGCCTTAGTGTATTTATATCCATATTTATATGTATAAGAAAAGAAATAACTAAAAAAACAAAAAAAACAAAACAAACAACAGGTCCTTGTATTACAAAAATATATAATCTGCTGCTCAACACTAGTTAGGTTTAAATCTAATATAAAAGAAATGTATAATAAGTGGAGCGCTGATTAACTAGAAAATGTATAGATAAGAGATAAGGTATATAAATAGGAAACCTAACGACCTATATAATATAAAACAAAATGTAAAATCAATAGAAGCACCTTATCATCTAGTTATTCATAATAGTCTCACTTACGTACTCAATAATAATTGTAAAACACAATTTATTAATATACAAATAAAAATACCATCTATTAAAAATAGTTATTTTAAGAAAAAAAACCATGCACAAAAGGAAAGAAAGTCCAGACCTTATTTGATAATCTCGGCGTCCCGAGTCAACCAAAAAGCATGCTGAAAAATATCATTTTAAAAGTCCTCTTTGATGTATAAGTGCTGGCTTGTATCGATGGGAGTCAGACCCCTCCAAACGCGTTTCTCCGCTTCGGCGGCTTTCTCAATGGATGCGGTCTGCTTCGTTGTATCCGTTTATATAGCAGTAGCCGGCTTGCTGTTTCCCGGCAAAAAAATAGATGCTTACAGAAATGTGCTAACAATGTAAGCCTAATTAGCTACATAAGAGCACAAATGAAAAACATTACAACATAGTATATTGTAATTCTTGTTACTATAGTAACACCCGCCTAAGCAGGTTCAAATATAACTGCTGTTTTCATTTGGCACAACTAAGTACAAGAGAATAGTATATTATAATTCTTTTAATAGCAACCCTCGCCTAAGCAAGTTCAAATATAACTGCCGTTTGCATTTAGCACGACTAAGCACAAGAGGATAGTAAAATTAATTAAAAAAATTTAAAAAAAAAATTTTAAAAAAATTTTACTTAAGCAAAATTTATTATATAAAATAGGATAAATTGTATCTATTAATTCTCATATAGATAATTACTATATTGAAACTAGGATCAATATTTTGACCTTGAAAATTTGTTCTTGAGGCAGTCTTGATGTTTTAAACCTTAATACTTGTACTGCCTCTATAGATTATATATCGTAAAAATTATATTTACTCTATAAAGAGCTAAGACTATTATTCTTAAAGGACCCAAAAAAAAAAAAAAAAAGGGGGGGAGGAGTGAGAGAAGAGGCAATTTATCCCAAGAAATGACAGAGCTCAAACTCAGCATTTAATCCCTTAGGCTGCAACGTATCTAAATTGTAAATCCATTTCATCTCAGTAATGCCCAATTGTTTATTATGGTCTCCGCCTCTCCAATTTTTATTTACTTTGCATATCCCCTTAAAATTCAAAAGACTCATATCCGAATTGTGATACTGCTTAAAATGGGCTGAGACTGAGTGTTGCATATAACCCTTTTTTATATTCAACATGTGTTCTCTTATTCTCACATACAACTGCCTCTTTGTTCTTCCTACGTACTGGAGCCCACATGGGCACTCCAGTACATATATTACGTTACTACTGTGGCAGGTGATATTTTCCTTTATTTTAAAGGATTCTCTCCCTTTCTTGCAGTTGTTGTTAATAACTTCAAATACTCCTTTTGTTTGTTTGCATTTACTTTCTTTGCATGCAATACAGTCTAGGCAATAAAAGAAACCATTCTTCTTTGTTATAATTGGGACATTCCTTCCTTTTAGATGTTTATTTGTTATTTTTCTTCTTAGGTTCGGTGCGCCCCTAAAAATTATTCTGGGTCTTGCTGGTAAAATGTCGGCCAGTATTTTATCTTTTTTCAATAAATGCCAATGTTTAGTAAGTATTCTTTTTAGTTGTTTATTTTCTTTGTTGTAATTCAAGATAATTGCTGGAAAATCTTCTCCTATTCTTTTTATTTGTGATTTATCTCTATTTTTCATGAGATTGATACGATCTAGCTTCTCTACTCTACATAGTGCCTCCTCTATTTCTTTCTGTTGGTAATTTTTCGACAGGAAGTCCCATCTTAAGGATACGACACAGATGATTAAAGAACTGGACTCCCTTTCCTGGCAAGACAATTATATTCTAGTATCTACAGATGTGACCTCCCTATATACGATTATTGATCACCAACAAGGCTGTGATTCCGTGAGAAACTCATTAAATAAATATGGGGAACTGGAAGATATACAAACTGCATTTATAATAGAAGGAATTGCTTTTATTCTAAAGAACAATTATTTTCTATTTGAAGATCAGTTCTATCTCCAGAAGAAGGGAACAGCCATGGGGACGAAATTTGCCCCTAGTTTTGCCAACTTGTTCATGGGGGATTGGGAGGACAATCACATTTGGAATGAACATCCTTGGAATAAGAACATCCACAGATATAAAAGATACATCGATGATGTTTTCTTTATATGGGAAGGTGAGATGAATGATTTACAGAAGTTTCTGGAATATGCAAATAAGAACACCTGGGGAGTGCAATTGAATACTACTTGTAGTAAAACACAGGTAGAATTTCTTGACCTCACCATCTATATAGAGTCTGGGAAAGTAAAAACGAAAACGCACTTCAAAGAAGTTGATGTGAACAGTTTTATTCTTAAAGAGAGCTGTCATTTACCCACGTGGTTAAAGAACGTACCCTATAATGAATTTAGACGTCTGAAACGCAATTGCACAGACTCTGAAGTTTATAGGGAACAAGCGGAAACAGTAAAAAACAAATTCCTGTCGAAAAATTACCAACAGAAAGAAATAGAGGAGGCACTATGTAGAGTAGAGAAGCTAGATCGTATCAATCTCATGAAAAATAGAGATAAATCACAAATAAAAAGAATAGGAGAAGATTTTCCAGCAATTATCTTGAATTACAACAAAGAAAATAAACAACTAAAAAGAATACTTACTAAACATTGGCATTTATTGAAAAAAGATAAAATACTGGCCGACATTTTACCAGCAAGACCCAGAATAATTTTTAGGGGCGCACCGAACCTAAGAAGAAAAATAACAAATAAACATCTAAAAGGAAGGAATGTCCCAATTATAACAAAGAAGAATGGTTTCTTTTATTGCCTAGACTGTATTGCATGCAAAGAAAGTAAATGCAAACAAACAAAAGGAGTATTTGAAGTTATTAACAACAACTGCAAGAAAGGGAGAGAATCCTTTAAAATAAAGGAAAATATCACCTGCCACAGTAGTAACGTAATATATGTACTGGAGTGCCCATGTGGGCTCCAGTACGTAGGAAGAACAAAGAGGCAGTTGTATGTGAGAATAAGAGAACACATGTTGAATATAAAAAAGGGTTATATGCAACACTCAGTCTCAGCCCATTTTAAGCAGTATCACAATTCGGATATGAGTCTTTTGAATTTTAAGGGGATATGCAAAGTAAATAAAAATTGGAGAGGCGGAGACCATAATAAACAATTGGGCATTACTGAGATGAAATGGATTTACAATTTAGATACGTTGCAGCCTAAGGGATTAAATGCTGAGTTTGAGCTCTGTCATTTCTTGGGATAAATTGCCTCTTCTCTCACTCCTCCCCCCCTTTTTTTTTTTTTTTTTGGGTCCTTTAAGAATAATAGTCTTAGCTCTTTATAGAGTAAATATAATTTTTACGATATATAATCTATAGAGGCAGTACAAGTATTAAGGTTTAAAACATCAAGACTGCCTCAAGAACAAATTTTCAAGGTCAAAATATTGATCCTAGTTTCAATATAGTAATTATCTATATGAGAATTAATAGATACAATTTATCCTATTTTATATAATAAATTTTGCTTAAGTAAAAATTTTTTTAAATTTTTTTTTAAATTTTTTTAATTAATTTTACTATCCTCTTGTGCTTAGTCGTGCTAAATGCAAACGGCAGTTATATTTGAACTTGCTTAGGCGAGGGTTGCTATTAAAAGAATTATAATATACTATTCTCTTGTACTTAGTTGTGCCAAATGAAAACAGCAGTTATATTTGAACCTGCTTAGGCGGGTGTTACTATAGTAACAAGAATTACAATATACTATGTTGTAATGTTTTTCATTTGTGCTCTTATGTAGCTAATTAGGCTTACATTGTTAGCACATTTCTGTAAGCATCTATTTTTTTGCCGGGAAACAGCAAGCCGGCTACTGCTATATAAACGGATACAACGAAGCAGACCGCATCCATTGAGAAAGCCGCCGAAGCGGAGAAACGCGTTTGGAGGGGTCTGACTCCCATCGATACAAGCCAGCACTTATACATCAAAGAGGACTTTTAAAATGATATTTTTCAGCATGCTTTTTGGTTGACTCGGGACGCCGAGATTATCAAATAAGGTCTGGACTTTCTTTCCTTTTGTGCATGGTTTTTTTTCTTAAAATAACTATTTTTAACAGATGGTATTTTTATTTGTTTATTAATAAATTGTGTTTTACAATTATTATTGAGTACGTAAGTGAGACTATTATGAATAACTAGATGATAAGGTGCTTCTATTGATTTTATACTGTGTCAGTGTGTATCAAGGAACCTTAGGACAGGTGTCAATCCATATCTGCCAAGTGACCCGATGTAGAGGGAACAGTCCCTATTCTGCTCTGTGTCAGTGTGTATCAGGGATCCTTAGGACAGGTGTCAATCCATATCTGCCAAGTGACCCTATGTAGGGGGACCAGTCTCTATTCTGCTCTGTGTCCGTGTGCATCAGGGGCTCTGAGGACAGGTGTCAATCCATAT